TTATTTTTAAGTTTATTTTTTAATTTTTGTAAATTTTTATTTTTTATTTTTAAGTGACAACAACTGTATGTATTTATGGTGTACAATATATTTTGATATACGTACACATTGTGCAATGGCTAAATCAAGCTAATCAATATATGCATTACCTCATATAGTTATACTTTTTTGTTATGAGAACACTTAAAACCTATTCTCTTAGTAATTTTCAAGAATATAAAACGTTGTTATTAACTATAGTCATCATGTTGAATAATAAACCTCTTGAACTTATTTCTCCTGTCTAACTGAATTTTTTTATCCTTAGGCTAACATCTCCCCAGTCCCACCACCTTACCCCACCCCTGCCCCAGCCTCTGGTAACCAGCATTCTACTCTGCTTCTGTGTGTTTGTCTTTTTTATTTTTAATTTTTTTAAGAGAAGGGATCTCACTGTGTTGATCAGGCTGGAGTGCAGTGGTGCATTCATAACTCACTGCAGCCTCAGATTCCTAGGCTCCAGTGATCTCCCTGCCTCAGCCTCCCAAGTAGCTGGGACTACAGGTGTGCACTACCACATCCAGCTAATTTTAAAATTTTTTTATAGAGACAGACTCTTGCAGTGTTGCTCAGGCTGGTCTCTAATTCCTGGCCTCAAGAAATTCTCTCAGATCTGCCTTCCCAAAGTGCTGGAATTATACATGTGAGCCACCATACCTGGCCAGTTTGTCTTTTTTAGATTCCACATATAAATGAGATTGTGCAATATTTGTCCTTCTGTGCTTGGTTTATTTCTATTAGCATAACGTCCTTCAGGTTTGTCTGTGTTGTTGCAAATGACAGGATTTCCTTCTTTGTTAAGGCTGAATAGTATTCCGTTTGTTTATATAACCACATTTTCTTTATCCATTCATCCATCTGTTGGTAAACACTTTGGTTGATTCTGTATTTTGGCTATTGTGAACAGTGCTGCAATGAACATGAGAGTGCAGATATTTCTTCAACATACCAATCTCATTTCCTTTGCATATATACCCAGAAGTGGGATTGCTGGATCATATAGCAGTTCTATTTTAACTTTTTGAGAAACCTTCATACTATTTTCCATAATGGTTGTACTAATTTACATTTTCACCAATACCCCTTTAGAATGAATGTTCATGTTTTCTCTTCATAGGAGGCCAATTGTTTCTAGTCTTATTGTCAAGATGGTGACCAAACTGTCATTTGATAATCTCTCAGCATGGAACCTGGCACCACTGTGGGTGAAGCAAGCTCCAGAGGCCGGATCCTCTAATGCTGTCTATTATTGTTAGACCAGACCTCTGCAGCTGGCTTCATCCAAAGGGCTCCTTCCCACTCTGCCTCTGCTAAACTCAATGTCTGAGTCCTTGAGCACTTCAGTAAAGGGGCTTGATGGAAGGTCTCAGATAATATGTTTACTCTTTCCCAGACACCCTCCCCTATCCTCAGCTCCAAATCCATTTATCTCTCCCATAAAGTGCTTATTGACAGAGAACTTGAGTGCTCAGAATGATGCCAACTGAAGACAAGCCTCTCCAAATACAGCAGTCATGTCTCCCCTTGATCTCCCCAGGCTGAATCCAAAACAGCTGTGTTTCTGCCTCAACCTCAAGGATTAGCTCACAGACTCTCCCTCCTCCCACCACCAACTGCTTTCTTGGGTCGTTGATTTTTCAGAGAGAAAATGCCTGTGGTAGAGGCATGAAATAGCTCTGCTCAGCCTCAAGAAGAGGTTTGCAAGCTCATTCAGCCAAAAAGTAATTGTATTGAGCCTCCCAGAGAGCCTCTGCTCCACCCACATTTGCAAATACTCTTTTACTACATACTCTGTGTTTCTAAGTCTCTAATTCAGATTCTTCTTTTGTTAGTTAAGAAAAGTGTGGGTTTTCAGGTATGCAGCAAAAGAAAGAGAGTCCATAAATAACAGAACTTAAAGAAGAGGCAGAGCTTAACACATGCATTTGAGCCCAATGTCTGATTTCATGTAGGTTGTAGCCTGATTTCTCTTGGGTCATTTCTACTCTAGCTAGGGCCTACTTGAATGATCTGATCTGGTTAAAGTTTATCATCCAGAATGAATTAGCTACAGTCTTGCTTCTCCAGGAATAGCAGGACCAAATGACTTCCAGCTTGATGTTTCCCTGAATCAAGCAAAATTGTCAAGCAATTCTTTTTCTTCTTTTGCTAGCTGGTTCTTTCTATTCTGGAACCTTAAATGCACACCTAGTCCAAGATTCCATATTTACCTTCTCTCTGGACATTTAATCATAACCCTCAACCATGTCTTTTTGCTGATGACATTTCAAGCAAAATTGTCATTCATTCACGTTACAATTCATAAGGCACTATGCAGGAGTCACTTGGTTATATAGAGAAATCCTCACCTTAAGACTTTACAGTCTGGAAAAGAAGACAAGAGGTTCAGCGTGGCACTCTGTTATTAGGAGATGCAGAGGCCTGGATTCAAATTCAGCTCCTGCCCTGGGAAAGTCCACTTGACCTCTCTGTGCCTCAGTTTTCTCATGTGTAAAATGTGGTTCACAATTGTATTATCCCAAAAGGTTTCTGTGAAGATTAAAGGAGATAACATATGTAGAGCACGTAGGACAATGCCAGGCACCTAGTATTGCTTTTAGCTATTACTATCATAAGTGAGCTACAAACAGAAACAATATATAGCAAAATACTATGAGATGCTGTGTTAGTCCATTCTCATGTTGCTATAAAGAACTACCTGAGACTGGATAATTTACAAAGAAAAAAAGGTTTTATTGGTCAACAATTCCACAGGTTGTACAGGAAGCATAACTGGGGAGGCCTCAGGAAACTTATAATCATGGCAGAAGGCAAAGAGAAAGCTGGCACGTCTTCACATGGTCAGAGTAGGACAGAGAGAAGGAGGTGCTACACACTTTTAAACAACGAGATCTTGGGAGAACTCACTCACTACGCAAGAACAGCAAGGGGGAAATTTGCCCCCATGATCCAATCACCTCCCACCAGGCCTCTCCTCCAACTCTGGGGATTATTCAACATGAGATTCGGGTAGGGACACAAGTCCAACCATATCAGACCCAGAGGAGGATGAGGTGCTATTTATTTGGAGGAGGGCAGTATAAGGAGTGCAGTTATATTCCAAGTAAAAAGCTAAGCAATAGACAACAAAAACCTGAACTAGACTATACTATACCATACTATACTATACTATACCATACTATACTATATACTATCATTAAACAAAGTTTATGGGAGGACATTGTTTTGGATTAGTCCCTTTCACTAGGCCCCAGCAGACCAGACCAAACCAGAATGGAGTCATTCATGTTAAGTGCCACATAATCAATGTCCAGGTGCCACTGAACTCTAAAATGTGAGAGTTTTTCAGGAAAACAGGAAATTCACAGCAATCAATGAAAAGGGGTTCAATTTACCTGAGCCTGCATGATAAAGAAGTTCCCTCTGCTTTAACTCTATGAGGAAAGTAATTTGAAATCACCAATTCATATTTCATTCTGTTTCTGCTTTCTCCAGCCCTTTTCTGCCTATAAAGCCAACCCTTCCTGCTCTGCTTCTTGGAACATTTATTTTATACAATGAAGTGTTGCCCTATGTTAGAATCACAAATAAAAGCCCACTAGACCTTTAAACTAGATTTGTTGTAAATTTGACTCTTGATAATACACTATACTAGAATAAAGACAAAGGGCTGACCAACTTTAAGAGATGTGGTGGTAGAATAAACAAGGTTTTGGCATGCATTAATTAGGGTGGACAGTTGATAAGAGGGAGTCAGAGGCTGTTCCAAGGGTCGAGTATCAGCAAGTTGAGGAATGATGGGGTCATGAATCAACTGGGAAGTCAGAAAGAAACAAACTTGTTTGTGGAAGAATGTGACTGGCTTGTTTTTGGTCACGTTGAGTTTGAGGCATTAGTGGAATATCCTGGTAGTGATATCTTGGATCTCTGAAACAAGTATCCTTAAACTCCTGAATTATTGCCATACCTGTTACCTGCTTTTCCATCTTTCCCTCTTTTTTGATCAATCCAGCAGTTAGAAACTATGTTCAAGGGAAAAGATGAATTCTGGAGATACTGAAATGTCATCAGTAAAAAGACATGGTTGAGGGTTATGATTAAATGTCCAGAGAGAAGGTAAATATGGAATCTTGGACTAGGTGTGCATTTAAGGTTCCAGAATAGAAAGAACCAGCTAGCAAAAGAAGAAAAAGAAGTGCCTCTTTCCAGGAAAACAATACACCTATCAGCCATCAATATAAGTATTTCAGGCTCATCAGCAATATGAGTGGCACTAATGCATTGCTCTACATAAAAGAGAGTGGAGAGTAAGTTAGGGAAGGCAAAGGAGGCTGGGTGTGGTGGCTCACGCCTGTAACCCCAGCACTTTGGGAGGCGCGAGGTCAGGAGATCAAGACCATCCTGGCCAACATGGTGAAACTCCATCTCTACTAAAAATACAAAAATTACCTGGGTGTGGTGGCACGTGCCTGTAATCCCAGCTACTTGGGAGGCTGAGGCAGGAGAATCGCTTGAACCAGGGAGTCAGAGGTTGCAGTAAGCTGATATTACACCACTGCACTCCAGCCTGGTGACAAGGCAAGACTCCGTCTCAAAGAAAAAAAAAAGGTATCTGTCAACCCACCTTTGATTGAGTTATCAAACTATCATTCACTTTTTTTTTTTTTTTTGAGATGGAGTCTCACTCTTTCACCCAGACTGGAGTGCAATGGTGAGATCTCAGCTCACTACAACCTCTGCCTCCCAGGATCAAGTGATTCTCGTGCCTCAGCCTCCCAAGTAGCTGGAATTACAGGTATGCAGCACTACGCCTGACTAATTTTTTGTAACTTCAGTAGAGACGGGGTTTCACCATGTTGACCAGACTGGTCTCGAACTCCTGACCTTGTGATCCACCTGCCTTGGCCTCCCAAAGTGCTGGGATTACAGGTGTGATCCACTGTGCCCAGGCTTTTATTTATTTTTTTTTTAGAAAAGAAATTCCACCAGTTCATTTGAAGTCTGATCAGTGCTGGGCGAACAGATTAAATTCTCTTTAGAGTAGCAAATCTTAGGACTATAAGGTGAAGAGGAACTAGAAAGTCCAGCCATACCTAAGTCCAAGCTAGCCACTCTGATCCTTTTCTCTATTGTATTCCATTAAAGACCCTGATATCTGGGACTAGAATTCCTGAGCACTATATACCCATGACCTGGTCTGGAAGTAGCTCTTCTTAGCTGTCCTATCATGCCCTCAGTGACTCCGGGTCTCTGAGACGAGTGTCCTGAAACTCTTGAATTCTCACATGCTCTTTCATCTTTCCCTCTTTTTTGGTCAATCCAACCATTTCATGGCTTCCTGTTGAATGTTATTTTATAATAATATGGTTTATGTTATTAATACTCTTTAATGTTATTCAAACCCATCTTCTATCATGTCATTGCTCAAAAAGCTTCAACAGTTTCTTACGGTCAAGCCCACTGTGTGAGCTTCTTAACTGGGCATTCAGAATCCTCCCCAATATCTTCCACTACCTATGATTTATATTTTAGCCAAACAAGACCCTTGATAATCTTGAACTTCATCGCATGTCTGCATTTCTGTACCAATCCCAAAATGAAATCTGAATCCCAAACTGAAATCTGGTTCATATTTCATGAAACAGCTGGTTTTTACACCCACATCTTGAAATCTCTTTCTATTCCCTCACCTAGATACAAACTCTCCAAGGGGCCAGTAGAGTGCAGTGGCCACAATCTTGGATTCTAAAACCCAGTTGTCAAGGTTCAAATCCCAGTCACACCGTGTGCTGACTGTGAGATCATATACAAGTCTCTTTTCACTTCACATCTGTTTCCTGATCTGGAAAATGAAGAATATTAATCAGATATTAAATGAGATAACATACATTTAATCTAGTCTGTGGAACCCTGTAAGCATGCAGCAACTGCGAGCTATTATGGCAGATGCTGTTGCTAGCCCACTCACATCCACTTGGTATTTGTCTCTACATTCTCAACCTGTTTATAGAAAACATTTGTGACTCTATGTAGTCAAGATAGCATGCTCAGCTCTCATACAGGGCTGAGCAGAAGTGCCTAAGATGTAATCAATCTCCCAAGAAGCGACACTCAGACAATGACCGTTGGAGAGTCAATGGATGAATACCGCTTGTTAGGAATAACCCTGAAACCTATTCTAGAGTGTGGACAGCATAGAATCTCTTATTGTCTCTCAGAGTTCCCCAGCAGGCTCTAACATCAGTTGCCCGCAATGGTAATTGGCTTGGCAGATACCTTTCATCAGCTTCTTTGATCCCCTAACTTACTCTCCACTCTCTTTTATGTATTTCCTGGGATAATTTCCCAAAACTACTTGGATTCTTGTCTTGGGGTCGGCTTCTGGAGGACTCTAAAACCATATCTGCTCTTAACACTATAGCTGAGTTCTTTGAAACCACCAGAATACTGCTTTGTTTGCATTAGTCTTCTGCTAGTTAGAGTCTACCTTCATAAAACCTAAAATCCAACAAAAAATTAAGACCAAAATACATGTATTTCTCAACAGTGCCTAGCACAGTACCTCTTACATAGAAGTTACCCAATCTGTATTTAGAGAAGAAAGAATAATGGTAGATCAAAAGATTACTCTATGAATATAAAAATAGAGCAAGGACTATTGATTGGTTACTAAGAATATTTTGCAAACTTTTATGATTCAACACATCCTTTTAATGTGGATAGGTCTACCTAATACACTTGCAGCTTCTCAAAGTCCCCTCCCCTCAACATCAGCGTCAGGACTCCTCGCCCACCTCTGGCTAGATTTGAGAGGTACTTGCCATTATCTCATCATTATCTTATCATGTTAATGTACTTGCGTAACCTTTTATATTTTCTAAATATGAAAAATATTTTACAGAGATTATATTTGACACAGCTGCTTCCTGAAGACCCAGAGGTCACTTTTATCTTATAAGCACATTCTTCAGATTGTCGTGTGGGTGGGTAACTTCCGCCAGACTTTTCTGGAGATGGCTAATCCAGCCGTGGGATGTGGTTTCTTCTAACAGCCAGTCAGGAAAATCCTGCTTCTCAAAACCCTGTCTTGACCCCTTCCTGAACTTTGCCTCCTAGATCTTGAGGTCTGCCTTCTGTGGAAGAGAAATTCTAGAATCAATAAACTGAACTAGAGCCCTGGGATTATCAACAGGTAATGGTGATACTGCAGTGGATGGCTGCATGAGATTTGTGATTACAGACTTGAGAGTGGCTGTCACCTTTGGTGCTACCAGAAGTAGCTTTCAAAACTGTCCTTCTATAACAGAGAGTTCTAGAAGGGTGGTCCATGGACCATCTATATTAGAAGGGCTTCTGGCTCTGCTTTGCTTGCAGATTACTGGTCCTGCTCAGGCACACTGAATCAGAATTAGTTGTGAGGATGCTTCAATTTGCATTTTTAAACAAACTCCTCAGGTGATAAGGTGACCAAATTATCCAAGTTTTGGCATTGAAAGTCCCACATTCAGGAAAGCCTTTAGTCCTGAGACATTTGGTCTCCACGTGGGTATGTCTTATGTACACTGAATTCTTAAAGCTGTCTTACACCCCAAGGTATGCCACACTAACACAGATGCTGCTTCTACTTGGTAAAAATCTCTGAGACTTTGAGATGACTTTAATCCAGTGTGACATTGGGTGGGGAGCTCCCTCAGACATCCATCTTGATAAGATCCTTCCATGGGAACTTGAGTGTTTGAGAGACCCAGAGTGTTTGTTTTGTTACTTTACTTTTCCTTTCTTTTGAACTTCATGTGCAAGGAGTTGAACTTAGTCTTGAGTTTATAGTACACAATTTTATTCTATATCTGCAAGGCCCTTCTCTGGATTTATGTGGTTATTTATTTGCATTTCCCCACCAGCTCTCCATGCCCAGCAGGCAAACATTACAATATGATTGTTTTATACTCTGAATTTGTTTGTATCTTTGTAAAGCATATAACATTGTTCCTAGGTATTTTAATTTAAACAAATTGTATTCTGCTGCAGACTTCACCTTAACTCTTGCCTTTTTCTGTTAAGTATTGTGTTTAATGCTGTATCATCCTTTGATCTGTTGTTTCTTGTGTAGGCAGCTCTTAAGGTGACTCCCAGTGATGATGCCCTGTTGGTACCCATGTCCCTGTACAATCACCTTACCTTGATCATGGACTACACCTAGTGACTTGCTCTTAGTGAACAGAATGTGGCAAAAAGTGACAGTATGTTACTTTTGAGACTAAGTTATAAAAACCCTTTGTCTTCCTCTCTTGTGCCCTCCCTTGCTCGCTCTGGTGGAAGTTAGCTGAAATTTTGAGAACCACCTTACAGAGAACCTAACAGCAAAGACTGGAGAGAGGCTTCCAGCCAACAGCCAGCAAGGAATTGAAGCCCTCAGTCCAATAGCAGAAGTGAGGAACTGAATCCTGCCAACAGCCTCGTGGGTGAGCTTGGAAGCAAATCCTATTCTAGTCTAGTAGAGACTTGAGAGGACCCATAGCTCTTGCCAACACTTGATTGCAGCATTGTAAGAGATCCTGAGCCAAAGGACTCAGCTAAGCCACGCTGGCTCTTAGCCCACAGAGACTGTGATATAATAAATGTTTGTTGTTTTAAGATGTTAAACTTGGAGTAACTTGTTACACAGCAATAGATAACTGATACGCTTTTAATCATTGCATGGTGTCCATAGCATATCTCTACCACATTTTACTTGTCTGCTCCCTGCAGATGAGTTGCTTGCTGCCTGATTCTAACTCCTGCTACTACTACAAACACCACTGCCATGAATATCTTCAGCAAGCCCTCCTTCCAGACCTGCACGAACAGTTGCGTGAAATGTATACACACAAAGGGATTGCAACGCAAGACCTAGAGACTAGGGGAGAACTTGGAACAATAATCTCAGTTTCTTCAATTCCTAAACTGAGAGTGTTGCTGTTTTTAAACGAAGGTATTTTTCCCCCTAAGCATTTTGTTCTAAAGTTGAGCTGCCTTTGAGGGGAAATAAAGAGACTACCAGATTAATGTTTTTTTTCCAAATGGGATGGTGGGGTAAGGAATAGTCGGGGTGGTCTGTGGAACAACTTGGAGGATTGGTGTTGTGTCTCGAAAAGATATTTAGGTATGTCCCTCCTTTTTAACCCAGGCCGACTGATTCACGCTGGGCTTCAGATATGAGAGGTTAGGAGTAGGAGGCATGCCTCGTTCAAAGGTGAGTGGACACATCTATAACCATTAAAACAATGTTTTTCTGTTTGGATTTAGTAAATGGTCTCAGGTTCCTGGAAATGTGTGCAGAGACCCCGTGGCCATGAGAAGATCTGTCATTTTATTTTTTACAGTAGGATGAAATATATTTGGAAGTCATTGGACTGTAGCTGTCCTACATCAAAAGGCATTTCATAACAAAACACTATCATGCCCCATTTATAGTAATAGCATGCTGTGCTCTGGCTGCTGTGGGCAAATAAAATATGTTCCTGTAACATAAACAGCCTCACCTTCCCTCTAAAGACTAAAAGGCCATGAAAGATTTATTTAAATAGGCTTTTGAAACATAGAGACTCATACAAAAACATGTTAAACATACACATATGTAGATAGATAGATGGGTAGATTAGATAGATAGATGATAGACAGATGGATAGAGAGAGAAAGAGAGAAATAGACAGAGATTGTCAGAAATGGACCATAAACTCTAAATTGAATAAATAATGTTAGAGGAGAGAATATCAGAGCCAGAAGGGACGTTAAAAATTTTTAAGTCCAGCCACCTTTATTTTGTTGGCTTTTTCCCCAATTATTTTTATTGTGGTAAAATATATATAACATTTCCCATCTTAATCATTTTTAAGTGTACGGTTCTGTGGCATTACATACATTCACGATGTTATGCAGCCATCACCACCATCCATCTTTATAACTCCTTTTCATCTTGTAAAGCTGAAACATTATACCCATTAAACAATAACTACCCATTCCTCACTAACCCCAGCCCCAGTCAATCACCATTCTACTTTCCATCTCTATAATTTTCACTACTCTAAGTACCTTATATAAATGGAATCTTGTTTTTCTTTTTGTGACTGGCTTATTTTTCTGAGCATACTGTTCTCAAGGTTCATCCGTGTTGCAGCACATGTCAGAATTTTATTCCTTTTTAAGGCAATAATATTCCATTATATATATACACCACAGTGTGCTTATCCATTCATCTGTCCACAGACACTTGGGTTAGTATTGTGAATAATGCTGTTATGAACAAGGGTATGCAAATATCTCTTCAAGACCCCACTTTCATTTTTATTTGTATTATTTATTTTATTTCATTTTATTTCATTTCATTTTATTTTATTTTTGAGACTGGGTCTTGCTGTGTCACTCAGGCTAGAGTGCCGTGGTACAATCTCGACTCACTGCAACCTTCACCTCCCGGGTTCAAGTGATTCTCCTGCCTCAGCCTCCTGAGTAGCTGGAATTACAGGCACGTACCACCATGCCTGGCTAAATTTTGTGTTTTTTGTAGAAAGGGGGTTTCACCATGTTAGCCAGGCTGGTCTTGAACTGCTGACCTCAAGTGATCCACCTGCCTTGGCTTCCCACAGTGCTGGGATTACAGGCGTGAGCCACGGTGCCTGACCAAGACCTATTTTTAGTTCTTTTGCTATACATCCAGAAGTGGAAATGCTGGATCATATGGTAATTCTATTTTTAATTGTTTGTAGAATTGCCACACTGTTTTCTACAGCATCTCTACCACTTTACATTCCCACCAACAATGCACAAGGGTTCCAATTTCTCCACATCATGGCTAATGCTTTTCTGGCTAATTATTTTCTGGGTTTTATTTTGTTTTGTTTTTAATAGTAGCCACTCTAATAAATGTAAGGTGGTACCTCGTGGTTGATTTCATTTGCATTTCCCTAATGACTTGTGCTGTGGAGCATCTTTCCATGTGCTTATTAACCATTTGTATATCTTCTTTAGAGATAGGTCTATTCAGGTTCTTTGCCCATTTTGGAATCAGGTTGCTTTTTGTTGTTGAGATTTAGAAGTTCTCTAAATATTCTGGATATTAATCCCTTATCAGACATATGATTTGCAAACATTTTCTCTCATTCTTTTAGTTGACATTTTACTTTGCTGATATTATCTTTTGATGAATAATTTTAAAATTTGTTCATGAAGTTCCATTTGTCTATTTTTCTTTTGTTGCCTGTGACCTTAGTATCATATCCAAGAAATTACTGCCAAATCCAGTGTCATGAAGCTTTTACCCTGTGTTTTCTTCTAAGAGTTGTATAGTTTTAGGTCTTATATTTAGGTTTTGATCCATTTGAGTTAATTTTTTGTATATGGTACTGGTAAGGGTCCGACTTTATTCTTTTGCACATAGATATCCAGTTCTCCCAGGACCATGTGTTGAAAAGGCAGGCATCTCATTTTACAGAAAAGGAAACTGAGGCCCAGAAGGAGAAGTGGCATGCCCAAAGCTGTGCCAGCAGCAAAGTGTAAAATAGAACCTGAGCCTCTGACTCCCGGTCAGTGCTATACAGACATTTACATTTAACATAAATTTAAATTTAAACTTAAATTGTTTGAATATGAAAATAAGTTATTTTGTTAGCTCTTGGGTTCACTAATGATGTAATTTCTAACAAATGAATAAAGGTTAGGTTGATAGAGTAGGTGATAATTTTAATGTGTTTTTCACAAATTCTTTGGTATTTCTTTTCTCAAGAGGTGGAACTTAATTCTCCTTTCTTTAAGTGTGAACTGAACTTAGTAACTTGCTCCTAAAGATTAGAATGTGGCAGAAATGGCAGTGAGTGGCTTCTGAGACTAGGTCATAAAAGGCATTACAGTTTCCTCCTTGATTTCTCTCTCAGTAACTCCTCCAGGGTACACCAGCATCTCTTCTGACTCTTTGTTTCCATGTCTTGAGGAAGCAGCCTCCTGCCTATGGCCATCTGAGGAAGCCATCATGGAAGCAGCTCCCCCAGCCCCAGTCAAGCCTTCAGATGACTGCAGTCTCAGCTGACATCTTGAATTTAACAACAACAACAACAAAAACTCCAAGCCAGAACTACCCACCTGGAATTTGAGGGCTACTTTCAAATTCCTGATCCATAGAAACTTAGATAATAAATGTTTGTTGTTTTAAGCCACTCATTTTTAGAGAAATTTGTTATGCAGCAATAGAAAGCTAGTACAGAGAATAAACCAGCCTCTCTTAAATTACCACCATAAAAACAGAGAATTAACCAGCCTCTCTTAAATTACCACCATAAAACCAACTACCTATTTTATTAAAAGGTAAAACCAGCTGCTGAAGAACTTTTTTCCTCTCAAGGTTTTGGCACTTGAGGTTCAACAGTAAGAAGAATTGAAGAGTGAAGGCTTCCTGGCTACCCTCTGGCATCCTGTGTTTGGTCTGAAGCCTGATAAGCCTGGGTTGCTCTTCCAGTCCACCTTGTATGAGACTGATGTGGAAAAATGTGTCTCTTCTCAAGGGCTAACTCTGGAACCCTAGGAAAATATTCTAGATTTGGATCATATTAAAATGGGTATTAGACCTAGGTTCTAGTTCCAGCTGTAAGATCTGGATGTGTCAAAATCCTTTTCCCTTTGTAGGTTTTTAAGTTTGGCCTCTTCAAATAAAGAAATAATCACCCATGCTTTGTCTTTTAACTTCCTACTTCAAACAAGGAGTTGAAGACACTGGCCATCAACAAATGACTAGTGGACAATTTCCATTGCCTCGGTAAAATTTGCAGTCTGACTCTCATCATCTCTTGCTTTTTATATTTTTATTTTTATTTTATTTTATTTTTTTTAGCTGTGTTTGTGAAACTGCCTTTGCAAAGATTATGAGAGGGAGAGAAGTCTAGCATGACAAACTCCATCTTGCTTCTAGCCTCACGGGCTGGCTTCCCTTGCTCATTCCTAGCCACAGGCCAAGCTAACCATGAGAGGAATTTAGTTTATAGTTTAACTTTGAGGCAAGGATGATAATATTCTCTCCCTAAAGCAGATCCCTTCCTTGTTTGGGTTCTGAAACCACCTTTGTAAGACTAAGGAAAGACCACAAGATTAGGATTATGGAAAGGGCCTGAATTCTGCTCAAATGGAGGCATCATTTCTATACTTCCTTACTGCTCAGGAGTTATGTGGCCAAATGTCACAGAGTTATGACTTCCTCAATTGCTCCTGTAGATAACATCACTATTGTAGAACCTAAGACCGGTCTTTTGAGATGTTTTTCAGATTTTTGCATTCTGGCAACTGACTGATGCCTCCCAGACTCATGACTCAACCAGTCCTGTGGCCTCCACCCAGAGGTGGACTCAGCAAATAAGGACTGTTTTCCTCACACTCCTGTGATTTCATCCCTGACCAATCAGTAGCACTCATTCCCTAGCTCCCTGCCCACCAAATTTTCCATAAAAAGCCTAGCCTCTGAGCTCTTAGGGAGACTGACTTGAGTGATAAACTCCAGTTCTTCTCTATGGCCAGCCTTGTGTTCATTAAACTCTTTACTTCTATACCATGGTCTCAGTGAATGGTTTTACCTGTGCAGCAGGCAGGAAAAACTCATCAATCAATTACATTTGTCACTAAGTCCTCTCAGCTGGAGACTCATCAATGATATTAAATTTTAAAAAACTACCAAGCAAATACAATTGAAGTGGCAGCTCACCTGTGGAGTTATGGGAACACACTGTTATTCAAGAGGGCTGAAGTCCGAGTCAGATGCCTAGAGATGTGTTGTCTTAGCTTTGCCACTCATTGGCTATGTGATCTTGGATAAGTCACCTCACTCCTCTTGATCTCAGCTCCTTCTTTAAGAAAAAAATAAAGTAGTCATAATTTTAATAGTCAACCTTTACTGACCGCAATCTAAAAAAATGGGATTAAGGGTGAGGTGGTGGGCGCCTGTAGTCCCAGCTACTCAGGAGGCTGAGGCAGGAGAACGGTGTGAACCCGGGAGGCAGAGCTTGCAGTGAGCTGAGATCCGGCCACTGCACTCCAGCCTGGGCAACAGAGCGAGACTCCGTCTCAAAAAAAAAAAAAGGGGGGGTTAAGTAAATTCCATGCATTACCTTTAACACAACCCTGTGACATAGGAATTAGTGTAACATAAACAGCCTCATAAAATCTGTATTTTACAGATAAGGAAACTAAGTTTCAGAGATAATAAGTGGTAGAACC